GGGGGGGGGGGGGGGGGTTCAACGGAGGGAGGGGCGGGGAGGGGAGCTGTCTCGGGGGTGGCACGCGCATGCCGGCCGCCGCGGCGGCGATGGCGCCGCCAACGTAGCTAAAGGCGCGCGAGCGGGCGAGCCGCGTCTGGCCGGCGGCCGGCGGCGGCGCGGCCGCGCGCTTGGGCGGGGGCGGCTTGGGCTTGGGCTGCTGCTCGAGCGTGTCACGCCGCGTGAAGTCGTCGTGCAGGAAGGCGAAGAGGTCGGCGGAGCGGGCGCCTGTCAGTCAAGAGGGGATGCGGACGTGCTCATGGATGCTCGGCAAGGAGCGGGCACCCTTCGCGGGGGTGGCGCAGAGGAGGAGAGAGGAGGAGAGAAAAGAGGAGACGAGAGTAAGAGGAGAGGAGGAGAGGAGGAGAGGCGAGGCGAGGCGAGGCGAGGCGAGGCGCGACCGTAGATGGTGCGGCCGAAGTCCTGCAGCGTGACGGTGCGGCGGCGCTCTCGGCGCGCGGCTTCGGAGCTCTGCTCGGTGAGCATCGCCAGGAGGAGCTCTGCCGACTTGGCGACGAGGAAGGCCCCCTGACGAAAGGGGGGGGGGGGGGGGGGCAAGCGGTGAGAGGTGTCCTCAAAGTGCTCTGTGGGTGTGGGCGTGTGGACGTGTCTCGTGAGTGTCTTCGGCGGGGATCTGGCGCCTCCTTCGAGAGGCTCTTGATGCCGGGGTCGACCTCCGGCTTGCTCTCCTATCAGCCGAGAGTCACCGGGATGAGCCGAGGTGTGAGTCGAGATGAGTCGAGATGAGTCGAGATGACCCGCCGGGGCCACCGGCGAGGGGGAGGGGAGGGAGAGGTGAGGGCGGTGAGGGTCGTCTCGCGTCTTCTTCTTCCTTTGTCGTTTTGAGGCAGGAGCGGGCAGGGCGGTGGTGGAGACGGAGGCGGCGGGGAGGGCAGTGGTGGAGGCGCGGGCGGCGGGTTCGGTGGCGGTTGCGAGGGCGACGGCGGTGAAAGGAGGGCAGAGGGCGAGGGTTGCCTTCATCGTCTTGCGCACGCGCGCCACCGGGAAGGCGGTCTGGCCTGCCTCCACCTCCGTGCCGCCGCCGCCTCCCCTCCCCGGCGCGGGGGCCACCGCCTCGCCCCGCTTCTCCGCCTCGTGGTATGCCGCCAGCTCTGCCGCGTGGCGAGCCTGGTCGGCGAGGGGGGCGGCGGTGAGGGCGGGAGGAGAGAGGCGGCAGCGGGGAGGGCAGCAGCGGTGGGGGATGCAGCGGGGAGGGATGCAGCGGTGGAGGGATGCAGCGGGGAGGGATGCAGCGGTGGAGGGATGCAGCGGGGAGGGATGAAGCGGTGGAGGGTGGCGGGCCTTGTCTGCAGCGGCGCGCTCAGTCCACGGGGCCTTGGCGTCGTCGCTGAGCGCGCGCCACGCCTCTCCCGCCGCCTTGCTCGGCTTGCCCCCTTGCGTCTCCGTCAGCCAGTACGCCCACGGGGTCATCGCCTTTTTGGGGTAGGGCACCGGCGGCGCCGCCGGCCCTGCTGGCGGCTCTGCAGGCGTGCCGGGCGAGGGCGGGAGGTGCGCCGCATCGTCGTCGGCCGAGTCGGCCGGGCCCGCCGCGCCGTCGAGTGCGCTCGGCGAGCCCACCACTCGCTCATCCTCTCCCAGCTCCTCGCCGCCAGCCTCGCCCTCGCCCGCGGCACTGCCCTCGGACGCTGCGGCCGCCGCCGCCTCGGCGTCGGGCAAGCGGCCAGTCGTCCGCTGCGAGATTTCGGTCTCGGGCCCTACGTCGTCGCCCTCCACACCCGCACCACACATCGGGATCGGACTCGTCCCGAGGCCCACCGACTTGAGCACGGGCTGGAGCGCCGAGGTCCCACCGATGACCGCAGCTCCCTCGCCCTCGCGTAGCAGCACGGAGGGAGCGACCTCGGTGCTGACGACAGCCGGGGCCGGATAAAAGCCTACCGTGTCGCCGTCCTCCTCCTGCGCCTTCGCCAGCGCCCCCTCGAGGAGCGACCAAGCTGAATCGGTCGCCCCAAGCATCTCGGTCAGGGCTATTCGAGGCGCGCCAACCGTGCTGCGACAAGAGCGGGAGGCCGATTTTTTTCTTTTTATCTGTTTTCCCGAGAACCTGACAGAGATAACCCCCCCAAATTCTCGATTCCTCGGGAAACTAGAGAGGAAACGAGAGGGTGCTGTAGAGAAACACGGAAAGGAAACGAGACGGGGTGAGCGAGGAAACATGGCTCATGGGTACAGCCTAAGAGGGAGGGCCAATTCCCAATACCAAACAACTCTAACACTCACACGTCATTTGGCCGCCTGTTCACGCGCGCGCGAGACGTGCAGACAGGGTTGCCAGGTGAGAGCGAATGGCGCGGTTCACGCCTCGCACAACAGAGAGAGAGATGCGCTCTGCATATATGGTGGGACATAAAAGAGAGCGAGTACTTGGCTCTTGGGCGAGTAGGCCGTGCGGTCGACGCTGCCGCGCGCGACTTTGCGCGCGAGGCGGCGCAGCTTGAGAACGGCGGTGGGCGAGAAGCCGCCGCCGAACGTCTCGTGGAGCAGCAGGTTGAAGTTGTTGCGCTTGACAAAGATCGCGTCGTGGTAGAAACCGCGATGCGCCTTGACGTAGCCGTGGCCGGTCTTGTGGGGGAAGGGTTGGCCGGGCTGCCCGCGCGCCTTGCAGCCCATGTTTAGGCGGCGGGCCTTCTCCTCGGTGTTGCCGAAGGCGCAGGAGTGGCCAACGGAGGCGGGCGTGCCGCCACTCGAGGCGTTGCCAGCGCCCGTCGAGGAGGTCTTGAGGCAATACCAAACAACTCTAACACTCACACATCATTTGGGGCCTGCCCTGTTCACGCGCGCGCGAGACGTGCAGACAGGGTTGCCAGGTGAGAGCGAATGGTGGGACATTAAAGAGAGCGAGTACTTGGCTCTTGGGCGAGTAGACCGTGCGGTCGACGCTGCCGCGCGCGACCTTGCGCGCGAGGCGGCGCAGCTTGAGAACAGCGGTGGGCGAGAAGCCGCCGCCGAACGTCTCGTGGAGCAGAGCAGGTTGAAGTTGTTGCGCTTGACAAAGATCGCGTCGTGGTAGAAACCGCGATGCGCCTTGACGTAGCCGTGGCCGTTCCAATACCAAACACCTCTAACAATAGCAAACAACTCTAACACAACACATCATTTGGGTTTGTCGGGTTTATCGCAACAGTGCCTTCGCCCTTCTGCTCCGCCCTCACCTCCAGCAACCAACCTCCCCGCCGGGCTCACCTCCATCGGCGAGGACGCCTTCCGAAGCTGCTCCTCCCTGACCCGCGCCACCTTCCCCGCCACCCTCACCTCCATCAGCAGCGGCGCCTTCTTCGCTGTCGAGTAAATGGAAAAAGAAAACAACTTCCGGCCGTCCCCTCGAGTAAGGACGCCCAGGCCGACAAAGCCCTGTGCGCGCCGCGCGACTCTCTTTGGCCGCGCAGTGAGGCAGCAGGCCTCGCCTGCCGCCCCATGCACCACGCCGACGCCGGGGGCGGCAGGCGGTTGACGCGTCGCTCCTTTGCGGATGCGGCCTCGCGGCAGCTCCTTTGCAACGACGGCAGCGAGGCGGGCTTCTACCTCTCGGAAGGAGACGGCAGCAACAGCCTCGTCCTGCTCTATCAGCAGAGCGGCGGCTGGTGTTGGGACCGAGCCTCGTGCGACAAGCGACCAGAGTGGTACACCGGGAACAGCAGGTGGGAAAGCACAAAGGCTCCAGGCGGCATCTTTGACAGCGCGCTCTTCGCCGGCGCGACTCAGGTCTACCTCCCCTACTGCTCATCCGACGCGTGGATGAGCGAGATGGGCTTTCACGCCAACTTCTCCAAGTGGTTCCGCGGCCGGGCCATCCGCGATGCGGCTGTCGACGAGCTCGTTGCTGCCGGCCTGCTTGGCAGTGCACACAGACTCGTGTTCGCCGGGGTGTCGGCGGGCGGGAGGGGTGCGATGGCAACCATCGACTCGCTCGGAGAGAGGCTTGCATCGCTGGGTATGCCGCCGCCGTTTGGAGTGCTGGACGGGGTGGCGTACCAGGACGTCCCGCCGCTCAACTCGTGGACGCCGCTTGCCGAGCAGTGCGAGCGGGTGTGGAGGGCTCTCCAGGTGGAGCCTCCGGCGCACTGCACCGCGCAGTTCCCTGCGCGTGAAGCGTGGAAGTGCATCATGGGCACCTACGCGCTGCCGCGGCTCGCGTCCGAGTTCCTGGCCGTCACGTTCCTGTACGACTCCTACCAGCTGGGCAACCTGGGCTACATGTTGCGACCGAGAGCGGCTCGAGAGTGCTCTCTGGAGCCGCGCCTCTCCTCAGCACCTTTCCCCCCCCGGGTACAGGTACGGCCAGGTGACGGCCGTCGATTTTGCCTACGCCGAGTGGTTCCGAATGCTCAACGAGAAGACGAACGCCGACGTTTATGCAGCCGGCAACTCCGCCTTCGGGCCGGCGTGCTACGAGCACGGCGCGGGTGGCGACACTTGGTTCTCGATCAAGGTGGGCGGCGTCAGCGCCGACGACATGCTGCGCGACGCACTCCGCGGCGACTACGCAAACGTGGTCGATCGCCACGACCACGTCGACACGAACCCGACCTGTCCCAAGTTTACCGAAGTGGCCGTCTCGCCGCCGGTGGAGGGCGCCCGGCTGCACGGCAAGGGTGGCTTGAGCGCCGGAGAGCGCGCACAGCAGCTCACCATGAGCAGCACTCATTGGTCGAGTAGGCGAGGGCGGCTGGTGCGCCGGAGAGCCGTACAGCCGCCTCGATGCCCAGGCGGGCATCATGTCGTACTCGGACTGCGAGGCCGCGTGTTTCGCCGCGGATGAGTGCGCCTATTTCTCCTCCGGCAACGGCTTTGTCGGCTCGTCCCTCCCACCTGCCCTCTCCTCCGCGCTCGCCGTCGCCTCCTGGCCCTTGTACCGTGTGGTGGACGCCCTGTCGGTGCAGCCTCCGCGCGGGTGCCTGCTCTTCGCGGCCGCCCCGTGCGACCTCGTCTCCGGCGCGCCCTTCTCGCGCCTCTACGCCACCTACGCGCGGGTGTCCATCGTGCGGGGATACACAGAGGTGCCCGCGTCGCATTGCGACAGCGGCCTCGTCCTCGAGAGCGCGAAGGGGGCGACGTTTGAGGAGTGCGCCGCCACGTGCGACCACCGGCCGGGCTGCACGCACCTCAGCTACAGCGACACACCGCTCTCCGATCCGACACCGATCTTCTCGAGGGGGCAATCCACGCCCTTCGAGCCGGCGGGCGTGCGGTGTCTGCTGTTCGGAGCGTGCGATCCCACCTCGACGTCGCCGGGCGCCTTCAACACCTCGTACCGCCTCTACGCAAAGGCATCGCACGCTAGATGCCGTGTGTGGGGCTCCTGTCTGTCTCGGGACGTGGAGTCGCAAGTAGCTTTACCCTTGGCGTGCCCTCACCCCTTGCCTTGCTCCCTACGCCTCAGGGTGAGCACGAGTTTGGCCTCTATCACGCGGGGGCGCAATGCGACGGCGGCGCGGAGGCCGAGACGCGGGTCGACACCCTCGAGTCGATCGAGACTTTGCACGAGTGCCGGCAGCTGTGCGCGGCAGAGCCGGAGTGCCGCTTCCTGTCCTACTCCCCCGGGGGTGGGGACGGGCTGGGCGGGCGGTGCCTGCTGCACAGCGCGTGCTGGCGCGACCGGATCATCGTCGAGGCAAACTTCAGCGTCTCTTGGAAGGCAGGGCACAGCGCCTCGCCGGCCGACGCCGCCTTCTCGAGAGAGGGGGCCGCGAGGCTTTGGGAGGAGCCCCACGCCCTCCTCTCCCAGCAGCCCGCGCGAGTCGCTGCGGGGCCAGCCAGCTCGCTCCCGCCGTTTGGCATGGCGGGGGTCGCGGCCGGTGCCACAGCGGCCCTAGCGGGCTTGATCTTCCTCGCCAGCGCAGCGCGCGTGCGCATGTCTGCGCTGGGATCGAGGGTTCAGCCACAGCAGCATTAGAACTTGCACTGGTCTAGCCATTGAGGGAGAATCGAGCGAGAGAGGGGAGTACAGGGTCCCCAGACCCCACCTGCACGACGGCGGAGGCGGCGCGGCCTGGCGGAGCCGGTGGAGCGGCGGCGAGGGCGAGGTGGAGGGCGGCGGCGGCGTGGGCGGCGGACAGGGGGTAGTGGAGGAGAATAGGAAAGGCAGAAACCTTAGGCGCGGACAGACTTCTCCATTATTTACTGGAGCACTGCCCACTGATAGGAAGAAGAACTTTTGGAAGGACGATCAGGGCTCAGGGGGGTCACAGACAGACAGGGGAACGGGAGTGGGGAGCGCATCGCGACTGGTGCGCTCTCGCCTAGTTCTCCTGCTCCTGACAAGGGACAGCAACAGGCTCGCAGCGCGGTGCTCGGTGGAATTCCACTGCGCGCGGTAAAAGAAAGAATTTTACAACAAAGCTCCCTCGCACAACACTGGGCACGGGACAAAGAAAGAAAACAGGCAACCCAAGGGAGGGATGGGAGGACGGCACGCCGCCACCACACAGGGATTTTAAGGAGAGGTGTGTGGTGCTAGCCGTCGCCCACCCTTGGGCGTCGCCTCTATCTCTCTTCGCAGTTTCTCGCCGATTCTCGCTGCAACCTAGAACCTTCATGCCACCTCGCAGTCTCGTCCCACTCTCGTCGTTCTCTCTCTTGTCGCTTTTTCCTCTGTCGCGTCGCTCTCCTCTGCTGCCTCATCCTGCGTCGCCGCCTCCGATCCCTTGCCCTCGCGGCTTCTCCCGCCTTTCGGCGCAGCTCTGCCCTCCTCGCGGCATATTTTGGCCCCTCTAGTTTATCGAGCTCTCCTCGCGCAAGGACGACTCTTCTGACTCCCACTGCGAGCATATCCCGCCCTGTCATGTCGTTGCTCAGGACCACTCTTGTGTCGGACACTTGTGCCTCCACAGATGGTGTTGGCGCTGGATGGTTTTTCCGGTCTCGATGTCGGCGACCGCCCGATTTTTCTTTAGCACGCGCCAGTTCGCACCTGTGTCGAGCCTGTCTGCTGTGAGAGAGAGTTGTTTTGTTTAAATTCTTTTGCTCACGGCGCCTCTGTGGCAGCTGCACGCCGTCCTGCGCGGCTCAATGTCGCCAGCGAGTCGGGCAGCGACGGCGAGCATGCCGTACACGACGACCCTGCAGGAGCCGAGCCCTGCTCCGCCCAGCGTCGACATCCGCTTCATCAAAGCCTCGCAAAATTCAATCACCCTCGACCTACGCCCAGGCCCCGGCAGCTCGTCCGGCGCCCAGATCGAGCGCTTCGAGCTGCAGTGGCGGCGGGCGGGCGCGGCGGCGTCGGCAGACGGCCGCTGGATGACCGCCTCGTCCTCTCTCAAGCTGCGGCGGTGCACCAAGGGCAACCTGCAGCCGGGAAGCCTCTACACGTTCCGCGCACGCGCCTGTACGGGCGACGCGATGTGGGGTCCATACGGCGCCGCCACCGAGCCGCTGTCGACGACTCTTCCTAGTGTCCCGAGCGAGTGCTCTGAGGCGCTCCGCGTCCCCGCGCTCGTGGCGGTGGCGGCGTCGCAGCGGAAGGCAGCGGAGCACGAGAGCGACGCGCGTGAGGCCGCCCGGAAGGACGCCGACCTCACGCGCTTCGTCTCGCAGAAGAGCGCCGCCGCCCGAGAGGTGCGAGCCGACACCGCGCAGCGTCCACCTCTTGCCGAAACTGGCCTCCCCGCCTCCCCGCCTCCCGCCTCCCCCCCTCCCCGCCTCGCCCGCCCGCCCGCCCGCCCTCATCGTGCCTGCAAGGCACCTCCGGACACCTCCGGACACCTCTCCGCGCTGTGCGTGCTGCAGGTCCAGGCTGCGGCCGAGCGGCTCGAGGCGCGGCAGCGGGAGATCTGCCTCAAGGTGTGAGGGTGGCGATGAGTGAATACCACTGTTGAGTGGTTCCGTGATGTTGAGATCTGCCTCGCAAGGTGAGGGTGGCGATCGACGCCGTCTGCGCAAAGAGCCAAGCGGACTTCGCCGCAAAGGCGCGAACGATCGAGACGAAGATCGACGACGAGGTGGGCCGCGAAGTAGACAAGGCTGTCGAGCGGGCGGCTGCCTCTCGCGGAGAGAAAGGGGCGCCACAGTAGGGCCCTCCCCGGACCCTTCTCGGAAGCGTCCTGCAGGCGGCGGCAACGTACTCCGACTCCGCAGGGTACGGCGGCGAGGCGGAGTCCCGCTCCATGTCCTTGGCTGGCACCTCCGCCATCGTCACCGCGGCAAAGGTGGCGGCGCGTGCGCGCGTGACTGAGTCGATCTCGGCCAAGAGGAAGGGGCTGCTCGATGCCGCCGCTCAGGAGGCGGAGGGGGAGGTGCTTCCTCCCGCGCTGCTGCGCGCGACCTCCGTCCCGGACACGTCCGGCGACATGTCGAGGTCGTGTCCCACAGGTGCCTCCCGCGCTGCTGCGCGCGATCCGTGCCGTCCGCACCGACGCAGACGCGTCCCTCGTCGAGGAGGCGGCCAAGCTGCGAGGAGCGCCGCCGCAGGGACGGCGCTGCCGCCACCACACATGTCGCCCACCCGTCCGGGGCATGTGGTGTGTAGGCACCTCGTCGCAGACTCGGCTGCGGCACGTCGTCGAGGCTTGCGACTCCCTCCCTCCCTCCCT